GACTCCAGCTAGGATCGAGTGAATATTAACGCCACACTGTTCAGCTACACGAGAGATTTTGGCGACGGACCTCGTAATTTTCAACCATGGTCAAGTGGTCAGGACGACACCTGAGCTGGAATCCCCTCTCCTAACTACCACACTGCACCAACGGGAGGACTTTTGAACTCTTGGCAGATGTAACGTGCATCCTGCCCCTACACGGTGGGTCTTTTGTAGTGCTGGGCTCGAACTCATGACACGCCAGCCATGATCCGATAACTTGACCACCAGGCTACCGCGGCCTCTCAGCTAGGATCGAACCCGCATCCTTAGGCTCACGAAGCAAGAACGCTACCCATAAGCCACCTAGTCAACGTTAAGGGTTTAGTAGATCGGGATTAATCGAATTCGAGTATAAATATGTTGATGGTGAATATTTTTTTCTAATTTTTAGTTTCAGCATGTATTTTTTTCTCTTCTATTAAGTTGATTATTTTCCATTACTTACTTCTCTTTTGTGTACCTCTCAGGATGGGAATTTAGTAAATGTATTAGTTGAATAAAAAAAGAAATATTCAGTCGCAGTTTGTTTCCCATGAGTGTTTGATTTCCAAACATTGAAACTACTAGCATTCGTTAATTTGATAAATAACTCAAGCCTCTTTTGAGAGAATTTTTTTTTTACTTTTCATTGCTTAAAATAAATTTAATTTAAAATCATAATTAAGTAATAACAGAGAGAGATCAAATAAATGAAATTTAGTTCTTAGTTTTTTTAATGTCGGGATATCGTTATAAGTAAAACCTGAAACGCTGTATACTACTTTTACAATTTTCACATAAATCACCATAATTGTAACGAAAATTACACATCTCACAAAGGAAATTCTAAAAAAATTTCCAGCAATTCCAAATAGGTAATTTAAATCATTGTCCACAGACAAAAAAGTAAAAGACATGCTTTTTTTTTATAAAAATTAAATATGCTTGCATATTCATTTGAAAAAAAATTATATTTTTAGCTGTACTCTATTTAATATATCTTACCATTTATCTCTTAATAATGAGATATATAAATATAAACGCACAATTATTTTAAACATCCAGCATTCTTTGATAAATATAATAGATAAAAGATTTAGTTTTGTATTGATGAATAATAAAACATTACTTAAGAATTCCACATTTTTTTCTTCAATCAATTTTCTGTTTCTTTACAAAAATGTTTATTCATTCCTTTTGATAAAAAGTAATAAATTTATTATTTATATTTTTTGCAAAATACATCTTTTTTTAAGCCACACTTGTTAAATACAATTATTCAAAAAAATCTTTCACTTCAATGACCATTTGATCAAAATAATTTGTCTAAAACAGCAACAGCTGTTAGGTATATTAAAACTTTACAAAATTTTGACATTCACATTTTTTGTTTTGTTATTTAGAAAATAACATTACATTGTATAAAATCGATGTAATAATAATGTATACATTGTAAAGAGGAAAATATAAACTGTTTCCCTTTATAAAGTTCAGAAAATTGTTGTATGTATGCTTTGAAATTGTTTTCATATAACGAAACATAATAGCCCAGACAAACTTTTCTTTCTCCAAAATATTTCATTCTATCTTTTCTAAACCTTTGTTAAGTAATTTATAATAGATTAATAATTTTTTACTTTTTAAAATAAAATTATGTATTAGTATGTACTTTGATACATGTGACATATTTTCTTTTAAAGAGATAAAATCTAAAACTTATAGGGACATTTTCGCAACATACGTTTACAATTAAAAAGCAGTTAAGTGGGCATTTATATACAATAAAAGAATTCATTTTCAACCTTTGGCTCAAACCCAAATAAGGAACTAATTGGGATTTACTTTGATTTCCTGGACTTAAGCGATTATACCTAAGTGCAAGTTTAAAAATATTAAATATATTACATGTAATAAATATAAATCCTTATACTTTTAGATTTTTTTTTATTTTATGAATGCTTGAAATACAAAAGAAAACCATGTTAAGAATAAATTCTAACACATCACTCGATAAATCTTAGGCCTAACAAATAAAATAACAAATTTTTGGCAAAATTGAACTTTATTTATCAAGGTACTCCGCTTCAAGAGTGATACATTCAGCCCAGCGCTCTTCAAATTTTTTAATACCTTTTTCGTAGAACGATTTGTCTTTGCTCTCAAAAAAGTCTTCAACTTCGGCAATCACTTCTTCATTTGAGCCGAACCTTTTTCCCTGTAGCATTCTTTTAAAGTCTGCAAAAAGCCAGTAGTCCCTGGGGGCAAGATCTGGACTGCATAGTGGGTAGGAAAGTAATTCGAAGCGCGTTGTTTTGCTTTAACAGTGTTTTTCACCATCACAAAGCAATGTTATCTCACGAAATTGTATTTCATCCATAGTTTCTAAACAAACAAAAGTTGCTTCACTAAAATCTTCGTAACTTTTTAACTAAACAAGTTATTATCATGAAATTTAGAAACGTGCCGTTTGAAAGTTAGTATTACTAGGTTAAAATAAAGAAATTTAAAAGGTAGCTCCATCTACATGTTACGCTCGGGACTTATTGAGAGAGATGTGTTATTTTACACTATTTTTAATCATTTTAAAATTCTAAATTAAACAAATAATATAATAATAAATCGGCACGTGGCTGCGGGTCGATCCCGGCTGGAATCGATAGATTTTGTAGATGCGAAAATCGTGGGCACGCATGTCATATGATTATGTGACACGTAAAAGATACATTGAGTATCAATTTGGCTCTGGTAATCTTGGAAAAATTAAATCACGGCAATATTTAGCATCCAATGAGAGTTTGAATTGAAAAAAATTGAAACGTCACAATTTAGAAACGAAAGCCACCCCGATTTGTTGCCACCAATGCTTACAATCTTGGGTACTTTCCGAGTCTGCAAATGGTTTAGCTGCTAAAATGTACAGCCCATTTCAAACAACAAACTATAATCATGCAGTATTGTTAAAATTTTTAAAAAATAGTTATTGTAGAGGGAATTTTTATTTTTATTTAACAAATACTTAGGAAAAGGACAAGTTTTATTTTTTGAAGTAAAATATTTATGTGAAAGGTTAGCATTATATATATATATATATATATATATAAAGAAAATTATTACGCATTAATAAGGTATCCGACTACTTGCGACAACTTTTCCCTCTAAAAAATAGATGTATGGCAAGTTTTTGTTGTTTTTAGATTTTCTTAGACATTTTAAGAAAAATATGCTAAAATGAGGAAGAGAAAAAGAAATTATTATTACTAAAATTGAAAAAAATGGGTAAAAATTTACAAAAAATAATATAAACGCCGCCCATTCTGTACCAAAAGTTTGTGAACAAATTTTCAATTTTTTAATTCTGATGTGTTGCAAAATATTCATTTTTGAAATGACCTTCAGGATAAATAATATTTTAATTTTTACAAAAACTAGAGCACTTTATCTTAAATATTATATGAAACTGCTAAAAATAACAGTGATTATATACACATAAAGGACTATAAATTTTGTAATAAAAGAGTGATTGATAAATCTGAAGGTTAAAACTCTTCTACTATTATACAGAACATACGCAAAAAATTTAATTACTTTCAAAACTTTTTTATAAATCGCTGGGCATTTTTTAAAAAAAACGCATTTCGAGTAAAACGCGTTTTAAAGTATGACATCTTGCTTAAGTAATGGCATCTGCTTTTACTAAAACAGTTGTAATTTTTGACCTATTGAACGGAAAAAAACAAACTAGGTATTTTTATAAAGCTAATAAGATGTCCTATAATTTAAAAATCGTAAGAAAAATGTGACGATTTTTTGGCAAAATTTACAATTTTAAGGTAGTCGAATACCTTAACAGAGAAAAAGAATATTCCACGCTTAAAAATTATACATCAAACTGATATTTGTTTGTCAAATAATCTTTCAAACTTCGACGGAAAAAAACATTCATTCTTCTAATGATCTATTTCTTATTAAAATGCTTCATTTAAAATTACTTTATAATGTTTATATTTTGAAAAAATTTAGGGTCAATTTTATAAATCATTCTAAATTTCTCAAAAAAAATTAGCAATAAAAATTTATTAAAATTATAACTTAAATAAAAATGAAATGTAATGTGGACTATATGAAATTTTAAAATGGGTTTTATTTTTATTAAAATCATTTTTTAACCTGCAGGTGAGTTATTGGCAACGGACCTCGAGATTTTGAGCCTCGATCAAGTGAGAACACCTGAACTAGAACTCTCCAAATTTCCACAAGTGACTTACATGACAACTTTGAGCCTTAAAAGTTTCTTCATGCATCATCCCTTCTGAACGCCAGGTCTTGAGAAGCGGTGAGGACTAGGAATTCTAGAATTCGAAATCCATGACTCGACAACACTAGCCACGAGTTCGTGACCATGACCACCTCGCTACGGCAGCCATTTTATGAAATGGCAGGAATACTTGTGACTTTGTCAATTCTCTCATTTACCTTAAGCTCCGATAGAAAATACATTTTCATGAAGACATGAATTTTTTTCAATTATTTAAAAGTAATAACTTTTTTATAACGAATCTCATAATAGTTTATTTTTTTAGTCCTGAAACAATTTTAATTCCTAAATTAGTGTGTAAGAAACAAAATTACATTATTCTCGTTAATATGGCACAGCACAGGAATACTTCAGTAAAAACAAGTAATATAAAAAAAATAAAAAATTAAATCAATTCCTACTTAGGTCAACAAAGAAAAACTCTATTTTAGTTACTTTTTATTAAATAATTACATTTAACATAAATATGTATATAATATGACAGAATCACAATATTAAGTAACAAAATAGAAAGCCATTTTCCAAGCAATTTTCCATTTTCCTTTATATATATTGTGTTGGACTATTTTTTTTCGTTTGTTACTTTTATTCATTAACTAAATTTAATTATTCTAATAAAATAGTATACAAAAAAAAGAAATCACAATTTCAGAAATCAAGCTATCCCAGGTGGGATTCGAACCCACGACCTTTGGATTAAAAGTCCATCACGCTCTTCATTGCGCTACAGGGACACAACGAACGCTTTTCTTTTCTATATATGCTGCTGGACTATTATTTTTGTTTGTTACTATTTAAATTATTTTTACTTCAATTAATTAATTAATATTTGAAAAAACTCTATTAACATCAAAAGTGTCATCCATTACAAGTTTTAAAAAATGTATTTAAATTTGAATGGATGAATAAAAAGTATGTTACTAGCGATTGAAAATTTGAAGATACATATATAAATAGAAAGATAACTAATAGTTGGAATTAAAAAACAGGAAACACTCTCTTAGTTTTAAAACCTTTTCGTTTTACCTAGTACTAATATTTTTCAGAAGATAAAAAAATATTTTTCAAGTATTTCTTAATATTCATGAATTAAATTTTAAGTTTTAAGAGTTTCAGTTGCATGTAGCATAAACTATTACATAAATAGTTTTATTTTGTCTTATTTAAAACTTTATTCTAAAATTTATCAATTAATAAACAATTAGACGCTTCTGGAAAATTTGTAAATAATCAAATATAAATGAATTTACACTTGTATTATGCAAAAAAAATATCACAAACAAATGTCTTTAATTTTTCTGTTACTTTAACATTTGTTCCTAATCCAACTTTAACTTTACTATTTATATTCCATAAACTTAACATCCAGAAACCCAAATTCTAACAAGATTTCTTAATCTTGACAGCTGTTGCCTTTTTAACAAAGCAAGCTTAACATTAAGTACACTTTAACAAATAAAGTAATCGGGAAAAGTTGGGTTAATAATTAAATTTCACATTCTGCCACAAATTAGCATCTTTTCCAAGATCGAACATGATTATACTTAATGACATTTTGCTCGGCTTGGCATTCGCGGAACGTCGCTGTTTTCGAGATTAATGCATAAGCGAAAATGAGTTTATTTGTGTGTACCGTTGTGGTGCGAGATTAAAAGTGATGTTTAATATTACAGTAATTTATAACGTCTGAATCCGCTGAAAGACAGGAGGCAACCACCTCAACACTTATTAAAACCATTGCCATGGAAACGTTCAATGGATGTTGATGGGTAAATAATCCTGTTTTAGCTTCGTGAAGGATCCGAAACTTTTTCTCAAGGGCATAGCTAAATATTGACTTCAAGTGGTGTTTTCAAAATGTACAGGAATTTAATAAGACACACTGACCTACTTTTTTAAACTTTTGACTTTGAAAGTTTAATTTTCTGTCTGGCAATTTGCTCTAATTTTGTTTTGAAATCAAAAAGTTCAATTTCTCTTAGAATAGACCCAATTACTTGTAAAAAATTAGGCCAGATAATAAAAGCAATTATTTTTTAACATATTATTCCCTTTCTTCTAAATCAAGAAACATAGTCAAGTGATTATAATCGTGAACGTTGCTTCTGTTGAGTTATGAGATCGAGTTCTAAAACACGGTAGAATCCCGAAAACTTAACCTAATGTGGACCGAAGGGTGACCGAGTTTGTAAAAATGCCGGGTTATCGAGAATGGGATGAAAAAAGAGTAAGTTCGAGTGTTTCTTTAGAACATTTTTCACTGCACTTGTATGTATTGTTTGCATGGGGATATAGCAGAAAATAAACCGCCCAAATACCCTTAAACAAAGAAAAAGAACTTACCGTATGAAGGCAGAGAGCATTTACTACATAAATATGAAAATTAATGAATACAAAGTACTCGTATATACAATATATATTTTACCGGATCAGATAAACCTCAAAAATATACTTTATAATAGGAAACCTATACCCTCAAAATATCACATTATCCCATTTTCTAAAGGCTGTTGTGTTGCCGAATTCAAGCCTGTCTTGAAATTGCCAGGTCACATTGATCTTGTTTGGAGACATTTGAATTTAAGTTTGACTTTATTTTGAAACTAAATTATTTCAAATTTTGTCTCACTAGTATGCCAGCATTGAACGACAGTTTCACGATATATTATTAATTTTGACTTAGATATATCATTAACAAACTCAAAGAGCTCTAGCGTTTAAAAGTCAATCATTCACAGGTAAGATACATTAAGAATTAAATATTTCTTTTCTTTAACTATTCAAGTAACTAGAGTACAGAAATTTTGAATTGAGAGATGAAGCAAAAATAAATTTCGACAGTAATAAGAACATGCAGGCAAAGGACAACTAATTTAATTCACAATCTATTTAATCATTCCCGTATTCAGATTAAGTATCTTAAGTTGCTCCACGTCAGTTCGATCATATATTAGATAAAATGTGATTGTATCTCTTGCTCGCCGCATTATTCTCAACGTAGTACCTCCCTACTCTCCTCTTAACTTACTTCAATTAAGGAAATAATTACATTTGAAGTACTCCATAAATCAGAAGAATATAGAATTCTGAACATCAGAACCTAGAACATGAGAATATCCTTTGAAGAACTTATCCTTCCTTACATGATATATCCTTTATTATGAGAATATTCTCTTAAATTTCTTTGTCCTTATTATATATATATATATATATATACACTCAATTCTCGCTAATTCAAACCTTCGATAATACGAACCTCTCGCTAATTCGAAGTATATATTCAGTCCTAAAAAAACTCTTGATATTTCGAACTAAAACAATACATTTTGGTAAACTGAGTATTTCGAATTAAATTCATGGCTGGGTAGACTACAAGTATATTTCGAAGTTATCCTACAAAACTTTACACAATTCTAACACTCACTATCATGTACAGTCCTATAGAAAACATGTTGGAGCGTACAGCTTTTCCATTGCACTGTCTCTGCGTATTTCTCTTATAACGTAACTCCTTTAATAATTTCTCTCTGCTACCCCTTCTTAATGTTTTCCGGTACCTCATGCGAAAATACACTTTTATTGCTTTCCTTCTTCTAGTGGACAATAGACTGACCGCACCTGTTGTCAGCCCTTCATTTCATTCGTTTAACACTTGGCCATGCTATACATGTGTTTAAATTTAAATGGATCGGAAAAAATTCCTCTTCTTTTATGAGTTTTTCTACCCTCTTAGTAATTCTAAGTTTTTTATTGGTCCCTCCAGTTTCAAATTATCGAGAGTCGACTGTATATATAAATATAAATATGCTTAGAATAAGATGTTCTAATTTGAACACGCTTAGAATCAAATGTTATACTAAATTTCGATTTATCAATAAAGGGAACAAATATCCATTAATGTTCGCATCAGCTCTGGTGTTTTACGTACGTATTAAGATAATTCCACTTATGCTGCAAACACAGTATAAAACCTACAGCCTTGGAATTCTGGCACTGAGATCGTTTTTATTAAGTTTTCTGTAAACAGTAAGTCTTGCCGTGAAACAACAGTTCCAGCACCAGCTGCAAGTTCTGAACTTAAACTTCCAAGCAACACACTCCCGACTACGACGGCCAGTTATTGCCATACATGCATCCTGGAAAGCAGTTTTTATGCTTTTACTACCTTGTGCATATGCCTTACAACAACTCCAGAGTTCTTAAATTCTTTCCATAGATTACAAAGTTTCTTGAGAAATACTCATGTATCTGTTTTCACGACTGCTCATCCTACTTCTAAACGGCCGATATTTTGTTATTTCTTAGCTTCATCCAAATGACTTCGTTCCCTTCATAGAACCATTTTTAATAGTTACAAGCTCATTTCAATCAAACTCTGGTTCAGAAAAAAATTCATTTAGATATTCAATTTGTTAAAAAAGTACTTGATTCACCGTCAGATGACGTGGCACTTTAATTACTTTTAATTAAATGAAACTAATTAGAATACTTTACACATTATCTACATAAATGGGTTGCATTTATTGGAAATTTCAAAATATATCATTATCTTTTACATGTAAAGATAATTGTGTGTATGCGTTTGCACATATACATATATGATAAAGTTACAAACAAAAATAAGGCTCATCTTTGAAAAAAGAATATTTCGGAACAAAAGTTGCTTTGAAGAATATCTAATATTATTAGAGTTTCATTAGAATTTAGCTAACCTGTCTTTGCATCATCTGCTTCCAAATTTTACTAGACATACTTCTAAGGGTATGCAAAAAACAATTATTGGATACGCAAGTATTTCTACAAGGAAAAGGTACGAATATATTCACAACATAAGTTTGCATTACAGTATAATTTCTTAAATATACAGCAAAAAGAATGTGCGATATCACTATTTAATAGTTAGTTTTTTTTGTGAATAACATCCATTGTTTAAAATGTAATAACATTTGTTAGTAATCTTTTGAATAATGAACACTTCAAATTGCCTTGAATAATGATACAGCCGTATCCAAGAAAGCAAAAAAGAGTAAAATGATTTTTTTTTCCATTTTTAGAAAAAGGAACATTAAAAGGAGCTAAGTAAAAATATTGACAAATTTTGCTTTGGAAAAATATATTTCACTAAAAAGTATAAAGATGTAGTTATTTTAATTTTGATGATATTCCTTAATCAATAAAAAAATATTGTATTGCTTCAATGTAAACATTTCTTTTGATTCCATTTGAACTTCATTTGTTAATCTATTTAATTTATCAGAAAATTAAAGCCTTTTATCTCAAAAATTACATTATGATTAATGCATTATTTTGGCAATGTTTTTTTTATTTATTAACATAACACTATCATAATAATTTTTCTCATTTTTTGTATCGTATTAAAAATCTTATACTATCAAGGAAAGCTTTTACTTATTATTCTTAACTCAAATACCTTTACAATCCATTTCCTTTTAAACTGAGATATTCTAAATACAGATTTGTAGAAAATAGTTGTATTTCAAAATCAGTGAACAGAAGGCAACATCTCTTTTGACTTATAAAAAAATAATCATTTCATTCATTATATTTTATTAATTTTAAAATTCCTCCATTCATGTATAAAAAGATAGATAGATAGATAGATAGTTGATAAATTCAGAAATAAATATACTAATACTCGTTTTCAATCATTCTTTAGTAGTTAAACATATCACACACACATCTGTGTGTCTTCAATTTTTCCAAATATATTCAA